TAATTTCAAATTACTGCCTCGCTGAGGAATGTCTTTCTGTATTTGGGTAGACCCCTTTTGTCAATTTGACTCCCCTTTCAAGAAAATATTTACGAAATCAGAAACATGATTGCACCTTTTCTCTTTGTTAAAGTTTCATGTCAATAGGAGTTGTAAGTTGTTGAGGAGGACTTGTAAGACCGCAATTATATATTTTCTCATATTTCCTCTATTTATTTTATTTTTTTGTGTACACATTGGTCAAAATTTATACTTTGTACTTATTATGTTTACCAATACAATAAAAGCACCAATACAAGAAATGGAAAATCACGATATATTAAAATGTAAATATAAATTTTATCAAAGATTATTTTTGACTCTTTGCTAGATATTTTTTAAAATTAGATCTCGGATACGACTCGTATTACACTTTCATAAGTACGCCGCGTCTCATTATGTATCTTTTTATGAGAATTGCTCTACAAAATAGCCAAAACACAATAGCACTTCTCGTATTTCTCAAGTTGCAGGCCATAATTTTCACGGTCACTTTCACAATGACAGTAGGAAGCAAAACAACTGTAACGCCTTTCTACACCCCGGAGCTTTCCTCCTGGCCGTTTGCATAAAAACTACGGAATACAATGAATATCGGGAGGTATTGTAAGAGCACTTACAGATGAAAAGGGTTTCTTTTCTTTCGTAAAACCATCCAAAAAACGGAAGAAGTACAATCGTAATTTTAATATCCAAATCTTACGCTGTAATTTAAAAATTATGAATACAAGAAGAGAAAAAAACATTCAAACCTTTGTTTAAAAAAGAAAGGGTATCGTTTACTCTGTAGGCGAAAAAGACACCAAATCATAATCTCTAGTGACAAAAAGACGAAGACCGCCGACCTTCCGTGGTGTCATGGAACCCACCTTCGAATCGACTAATGTGCCTTATTAGAACCCCAGAACAGAGTAGGCAATGAAAAGTAATAAGAAGGAAAGTGTTTTATTACCCAGTAGCGGATAAGAAATTTAAATATTTGCGTAAATAAATTATTAAGGGTTACATGTTGTGGTGGTTTATTTGGGAAATAAATAATTTAGGATTACAACTTTTATTGGTGTAAACACTTGAAATAGAGGCTCGCTTCGCATTCACTAATTCCGTTTTTTTTTCATAAGTCGTCCCCTACCTTTATAAGAATTTACCATTCAGAGTACCGTCCATACCTCATATCTTCCATCCCTGCCCTAAGCTCCTTCCAAATATTCAAAGGCGCATATTTGAATTTCTAGAATCAAGCCGAATGTTATTTTTTCATCGAGCTGGAATTTTGTCTCTTGGTTTGTTTTTCTTGGGCTTTTCCATTTAACTTGGAACGGTAGGCAAGCTTTCCACCCTCGTTCCGCCCGGCCTCCTTCAAACGGGCTAACACGTCTTGTTAGAGCACCGGCGCCCGAGCAGGGTGGAGCCGCTCGTTAGCAGGGTGATGTGAGGCGGTTCCGCACCCCCGCTAGAGATGCGCGCGTGCGGTATTAGACAGCCCTTGAGCAGACGCACTGCTCTCCCTCGCCGCCCCGCCACACCTACGCTTAGATCACCTCGGCCGTATACCGACCAGCCTCCGCTGACCGCTGCCGTCCCGTTCTGTCTCGCTCCCGTCCTGCTCTGACCTCCGACCCACCTCTGCTCCGATTCTACTCTCCTAACAGATCTCTTCGCCCCATACGACCCCTCTCTAACCAGCTCCAAGCCGTCCACCTTCCTCCGACCCTCCTCTCTCCACTTAAACCATTCCATGTCCAGACCTGCTTTTCCACACTCCCTATAACCTAATCTACATTTCTCAGTTTCAATGTAATCAATTTTATCTGATCCGTTTCTTCTTGCCTCTTTTCCCTTCACCTTATCCTGCTCTCCTCTGCTTCCTGCCACCCCACTCCGGCCCATCCCGCTCTTCTCTACCCGTCTCCACCTCACTTCACTCCACTTCGCTCCAGCTCACTTGATTTCATCCCTCTCCCATTCTACTCCCACTTTATTCCATCCCAACTCATTCCATGTCACGTCATCCCACTCCACTCCACCTCACCCCACCCCACTCCGCTCCATTCCACACAGCTCACTCCATTCTACATATCCTACCCGCTACTACCTAACTCACTCCATTCTATCCCAACCTAGTACATTCCACCCCTCTCCACTCTTCCCCTTCCGGATCCTCCTACCCCACCTTGCCCTTCCTTTGCCCCGTTGTAGTCCACCTCACCTCGCTCGCCCCACCCCTGCCTGCTCGCCCCGCGCAGCCGTACGAAGAGCACCCGCTATGCGCCGGTATGCCCGACGCCGCTCCAGGTATGAGGACGGGCGGAAATAGCTGTAGGTTTCTCCTCTAATTTCGGTTTTACTCTCTCTGCAGATTGCACTAACGTTGCTGACGGTGACAGTTTTGCGTAATAATTTGTAGGCCACATCTGTGGCATGTTCACATGAAATAGCCTTTAATGGTAATTAATAAATATATTCGTTGATAAGTAATTGACAAGTAAAGGTTCCCGTTAGAGAGCTCTTAATTATACAGTAAGCAACGTTCTTCCCATGTCATGACTATTCGGTAGCATTTGTATGACTGACTCAACTGTGTAGTGCTCATTTGATATTTGTTCGGATACTTTGTTTTGCGAAGCATTTTGTCAAATGATATCTGCAACTCACAAGGACTGACATGTCAAACGTTTTTAACTTTTTTGAGTCCATCGTCATCAATTATGATATTTGTAGTTTTCATTAACAAAACATCAGACATATGATATATAATGACACCAGGCATTTTTTAATTTGGATGGAATAACGCCTATTAAAAAAATTGAATCCCTGACTGTAATTAATAACCGTGAGAGATCAAAAATATATTGAGTGAGAATTTACGTAAGGTTTGAGAAAAATCCTATCAAAAGTACGAATAACCTAGAGAACAGCATTTATTGAGGATATTGTCGAATCGTTCGTTGCTCATCACAGTAAAACCCAATTTGGCAAATCAAATAAAATCACTTTGGCATATCAATTTCAGTCAATTGCTGAATTTCCCGACCACAAAAGACGTATGTGACCCATATCGCACTGTGCCTTTATTGAGGGTATCTGTACCCTCAATGGCTCCCTCTTCCGCAGTCACTGCTAAGGAAGCCCTAACGGTGTCAGCCCGTGCGACCCTGAACTGAGGCGTAAAAGACACTGTACCACCCCGGGCACCTGCGCTCGCGTCCGGACGCTGCTTCCTCCGGGCGAACGCAGTTGTAGAACGGACTGCTCGTGTGGTGAACTACTTTGCGCATCACATGTTGGTGTTATGACGCAGGGGCCAGTAATACAATCACCCACAGGTGGAGAGAGCGAACACGTAATATTGCTACCCCCCAGCGGTAGAGACATGTCTTTACGTAACTCCAGGTGCTCTTATGCCGGATCGTAATATTTAAAAACGTTGGTATAAATAACGCATTTTTTTAAATTATATATTGATAAAAGTCGTGAATATTCTTTATAGCCAACGTATTGAATATCGTAAGAAATTTAAGGACCAATACATATGTTTTTTATAAAAATATTGTAATTGAAATGTTATTTAACGATGCAATATAACGGTTCAAATATAGGTTCTCATTAACGTGTTGACGTTAGAAGAGGCTGCATTCTACAAAGCAAACGCAATGTTTGCTTCGCGGTTATACTCTATTAGGAATTCCCTGTCATATTCTTCGTGGTATTTCAAGAACTAATGTCGTATGGTGTCGGGACTTCAAATAGACAGATCATAAAAGTCAAGGAAGTCAATTTTAGAGAAATCTGTTTACCTCCCGAGTTTTACGTGCTCACGTTTTACGAGTGTAAAATGTGAAGCCATTTCAAGAAAACCCGTCAAATTAATGGTATACCTCGCGTGTTACTGTTCTTCCTATTATTTTCTTTGCATCAGGATGTTGAAAAGTTACTTTTAGCAACTTTGTAAAGTATCAAATTAGTGCCAAAAATTTAGCAGCACGCAGTTCTAAAATTTCTCAAATTGCGGAGACCTCAGCGATGATACAACTTCTGCTCAGAATAGTGAAGACATCTATTTTAATTGCATTGTTTGAAGTTCACCGCGCCTGACTGCACAGTATTTAAGAACCTATGATTGTCATCTTCAGCTGAAGTGAACTGTCATGCTGAAGAACTGTCGTGTACTAACAAAGCGTACCATATTTTAGAAATAGTCCATTTAAAATATTACGTTAAATCGCTCTCATTTTTAAAATACTCTCAGCCAGTGCACATCATATAAACATGTGCTAGTAGTATGAAATTAGAGATAATGCAAACTGAGAAGTAAGTTCCCCAAGTGGCCTATTAGATCTTCGCGTCACTCGACACATTGAACACGTCACTGACAACGATGCACAAAGAGCTGTTAACGTTGAAAAGAAGCGCCACGGTACTCACCAGAGCTGCTCTGATGATCGAGGAAACGGCCGTCCGCGTCCACGTCCTGCTGATCGGGCGAGGGGGCGTGGTCGGATCCGATGCCCGAGGACCCTCCGCTGCTCCCGCGCGCGCCCGACCCGCCTGCCGCCGCCGCCGCGGTGTTCTTCACGTTCACTCCCACGATATTCGCGTTGAGGCACCGCCTCAGGTCGATGGCGGTGAGGTTGCCCTTCTGGCGGTGCACGGTGTCGTAATCGCGCGGCGGGAGCAGAATGGGGGCGTGGGCGGGGCCGCGGGTCTTCTCCCCGCGCCCGCTGCCGGCGCCGCCGCCGCCGCCGCCGCCGGCGGCGCCCAGCTTCTCCGCAGCTCGGCCGCCAGCGAGTCGTACAGGCCTGCGATGCGCGTCCTGCTGGCCGACGGCCGCCTCCGCCGCTCCGATGACGAGCCGCCCGACGACTCGGACTTCACGCGTGCTGGTGCTGCGGCCGTCCGGACCCGCCGCCTGTCAGCCGTCGCGGGACCGGGTTGGCCCCGCCCACCACGCGCAGGGCGCGCCCACCCCCGCGGTCGGGCAACCCGGCGTCTCGCTCCCGCGCCGGCGCCGCCAGCAACTCTTTGGCGCGCAAGACGGGCCTCGATCTCGTTCAGCTTCTTCTGGTTGTCCGGCCGCTCGATCAGGGTCTGCAGCTGGCCCCGGAGGATCTCGGCCGTCTCCACCGAGTCGCAGCGGTACGCGTGCACGTGGACCGGGCATTTCGTGACCGGGTTGTACAGCAACAAAATGCACGCTACGATGTCATCGTCCTGCAGCACGCAGGTGACGGCGTGGTGCGGGATGAAGTGCTTCACCACCTCGGGTTTGGCGTTTTTCACCGACTTGCCCCCTGCCGCGCCAACGGCTGCCGCCGGAGGGATGTTTTGAATGATCTTCAACCCTTTGTGGCTGACTTGCAGCGTCACCTTGAACGGTTCCACGTCTCTCTCCCGCTGCACCAAACTCTTGACGACCGGTACCACATACTCGGCACCGCGCAGCCCCTTGGACTCCTGGGCGCCCAAGAACCACACGTAGTACGACGACTTCTTAATGTCCTTCCTCATGGTGGCGGTTCGATGCCTGTCCGCGTCAGTCTGCCAGTCCACTCTCACTCGTCAACGGTCGGTATGGCACTCGATTCCATGGCTGGTCGACCGCGGGCGCGCGTCACGACATCGCTCCACACGAGGGGGAGGCCGACGGTGGACGCTCTGCCGATGCAGTCGCCGCGGGAGGTCGCGGCCGCGTTCGGCGACGGGTTAGAAAGCGCCGCGCGCACGCGCCAGGATTTCGTAAAGGCCGGCGCGACGCCGGCGACACTCGGTTGTTTGGCGCGCGCGCAAGTGGGGTGACGGACGGCGCACGCGCGAAGAATGAGGCCTCGAGGCCCCTGATGTGTCGCCCGCGCCGATCGCTTTTCGGCTTTCTGTCCGGCGGCGCGCGGATGTTATCGATGACACCTATCGCAGCTTGGCGCGAACCCGGAGGTTTCACTTGTTCGACACTTGTGCTCTTCCACTGCACTCGCGATCACTCGCACACGCACACCCCACCCGCAGGTATTCTCTGTGCACTGGTATCACACGCTGGCACTGTTTTGTGTAATAAAAAACCAACCACCGTAGCTAGTTTCTTTGCGGAGTGGGCGTTGTCCTGGGCCTCCACGTGGGTGGTGGTCCACGGAGGCGGTGGCGCTCGCGGCTGTGCGCGCTGCGCTGCTCAGCGTCGCCTCCTCCTCCTCCTCAGCTGCGCGGCTGCTGCTGCTGCTGCTGCGCTCGCCGCTGCGCTGCGGCGCCTGCAACAAGCGGAGCCGCCGCGGTACAGTTAGTCACGCGGTCGCTGGCGGGAAAGTGCTGCGCGCCCGCGCTCGCGAGGCGCTCTGCGGGAGGGGCGCGGGCAGACGGCGGGACGTAGGGGAAGGGAGGGGAGGGGAGGAGGCGGCGGAGGGGAAGACGCCGAAGAGATAAAAGAGTAGGCGGTGTCGGCTGATGTACTGATGGCCATGTTACTTCTTTATTATGATGCCAGTGTCTAAGCCATGTAGTCTTACCTATAAGTAGTGGCACACTAAAAGAGGGAGGGGGTCTCATGAGGCTTCAGACTCCCTCAACCAGAGGCTAGTGATACTTATTATATCAACAAAAGTTAATGATCTATATTAACAAAAGTTATTCAATATATCAATTGTCTACGTTATAAATATTAATTATAAGTCAACGAATAAAAATATAATTTACATTCAGCATAAATGAAAATTGACTATTGGAAAACATCAAGTCTCCTGGAAACTAGATCTATAGTCCCTCTCCCTCTCAAAATACGCCCTTGTTGCTCCTCTGCGTGCAAGGGGTGGATGATTTAATTGATAGATCTCGCTTGATAGTCGCAAACACGCTTTGTTCACCACATATTCTGCGTACATAAATACAGAGATTTGATTTCCGATTCCAGCGATAGAATAAGAGCTGTCAAAGGCCGTGACACAAGTTGGTGAAAACGTTCGTGGAGTACACTGTATATATGTGTGAAGTGGTGGTTATAACTTTTTGATTACTAAAAATTGTTATGGCAATGTCTGAAGGGTTTTAAGAGACGCGAAATACATGTGTCATACATGAAACCAATTAGGGTAACAAAGAAATGTCTGTCGGTTGGAATAACGGAGACAAAGATGAAACAAGAGAAACAGAGGAGGAGGAGGAGGAGGTGAAAGCGTAGGCGGTACCTGCAGAGTCAGTCGTATAGAGAAGCATATGGAGAAGGATGAGGCGGGCACTGTGGTTACAACTGAGTGCTGACTGCTGGTGGAAATGGCACCGTGTAAAGGAGTTTGAGTTATGCGAAATCATGTTGGAGTGGATATTGCATTGCCTGGCAATGGGGGTGATGGAGAGAGACCGAGTGTGCTGGAAAGGATGAAGTGTTGAAAATACAGGAGACGACTGCCACAGACATGGAGGCTGTGATTACGGTGGTGAGGGTGATATAATGTGACATTAAACATTCACAACTGTACGTATATACTTATAATATGGGATTTATTACAGGAATAATAATTTTAAGGAAATTAAATAAGAAAGTATATTCAATATTTATAATAGATTTTGTAACAATATTAAGATTAAAATAATCAAAATAATCATAGAATATATTGATGAAATCAAAATTCTATATTCGCATGTAAAAGTAATGTATAAAAATTATAATTATCGAAAGTTTTTTCTCATTCAATTAACTCGTTATTCCTTTTGGATTAATACTATAAATCATCTGCCCCAATCAAACCAATCAACAACAACAACTACTATTAATTAGCGATGTGTACATGATATATAAGTAATACCTTGGACCTTGCAACTACGCGTAGTTCATGTAAAATTGACTTCTCATTTGATGCAACAAATATCAGCAAGGCTGTCTGTCTCTAGCACACTGCAAGAAATGATGTAGAAATGCTTTTCACCAGAGCAAAACCGCCTACTTTCCGCATACGTGCGATTTCAATACCAATTGCATTATGTGGAACTCGCGTTTGCGTCGCATTGATGAATGGCAGGGAAAACGAGGACGCCTTGGAGAACTGTGCGTTTGCAATTAGAGTTTATTTCCTCATTTTTAATTGTTTCACGTAGTAAGGCGTATTCTAGTGACGGAAGGTGGCGTTCCGCACAGACTGTCTTGAAAATGGTTTCATTCGCCTGTGCGGCAACTGGTGACAGACCAATAAAAATGAAACTCTTTCTATGGCACAATGAAAAGGAGGGGGAAATTTCGAAAGTTTGCGATATATACTTCCTGTTTATTCATACATAGTTTTCTCCAGTGGATAGAATGCAACATAAGATTAAAGTATTTATTCGTTACAAGAAAAACATGTGCGTGTATAGAATGTAATTTAGTATTCATCAATCCAATTAGTTTTCATTACTTCTCAGATACTGTAACGCGAACATAATAATACCTCCCAGACACTGTGGACGCACTGATCTAACAAGCGTCAGTTCACCGTACCGATCTAACAAGCGAAAAGCACATTCACCAACTCTATTGAGAGAAATGTATTAATGTTTCTTTTTTGAGTGAATCACATTTAACCTAGTTTCACATTGATGTATTTTTTCGTGTTCAAGCTTCTTATGATTAATTGTTGGAAACACAATAATATATTCGTGCGTATAATAATTTGTGGCATTTTTTGCTCCATTTATTGCTCAATCTCTCAAAAAACCAAACCACTTCCTTAGTCACTGTTCGTTATTAAGAAAGTTTTGTAGACTCATTTCCTTTGATATGCTGCGTTGGATGCATCTCAAAAAATATATGTCTCCTTCTCATAATAAGATACCATTGTGCTTTCTTAAATCGTAGATGAAAAGTTTCAAGACACTCCATAGTAATGTCGAACATATCTTCAAAGAAACTCCATAAACAATGATAATCAAGACCCAGATGTGAACTTGAACTTTGTTGCATTCCTCAAAGTTTATTTTAATGATCGATCTTTAAATGAATTTTAATGAATGCGCTAGTTGTATATAAATGCTTTGAAAACGAGACTACCAACCAAAATAATGGCGAATTTTCAATCAAATTACGATTCTGGAAATTTATCTTTGAGTGGGGCTTCTCTTATCACTTCCCTTAATGTTTATTCTATTCCATATGGGTATCCAAACTGCACGTTAAGTTACATAACATCGCATCTCAGGACTCAACCGATTATACCTACCCCATCAGACATCTCTAGTAGTGTATCCCAAATGTTCTAGGCCTACAAAAGTATACACTCACCAATCCTCCCAACATTTCACATAGAACGTGAGTTATAGACAAGGATGTCAGATCAGCCATCTTTAGTAGCGGATCTCAAATGATCAAGGTCCTCAAAAATTCACAGAGGCCCCCAGCACTTCACTTATAACAAGAGTTCTAATAAGATATTTTCCTAACCACGTTGGCAACGCTGGGGAGTGCACTGCCTCAAACAAGGAGTTGTAAACTGTGATCTGATGTAAAATGTGACGGTTTTCACCTAGTGCTCGAGGGTGAAAAGCGTCTGCATGTCCTCACAGATATCGCATCCCTCTAATCATTGTACATCAATGCAAACTGTGTAGGAAAAACAGATTGTAAGTTTTTGATAGTTAACCTCGTAAGCAAGAAGCACAAATAGTGTGATAAACAACAGGGCGGGGGAGGGGGCTTATGAATTCGCGAACTTAAAGTCCACGCCGACAACTTTCTGCGCACGAATGTCTCGCGATCCAAGATCCAATTGCACGTCCAGTACCTGTTCCGTCTCTTTGTCCTGCGCAGCGGATGGACCGCAGGCGAAGCCGGTCCGGTCAACGCTCGCGGTCTTTTCACTGCGTCAGCGGCGGCGAGCGCTTTCCCGCGAGCAGGAAAACCGCGTTCGCCGCCACGCCCCCCCCACACTCCGCGTCCCTCCGTCTGTCACGCCCGGGCGCCCACCCGCCCCGACGCACGCGTGCGCCCTGGGCGCGGGTCGACCGCCCGGACTGAGCGCACGCGTCGTCGTCCGCCGCCCACGAAAGTGCCGAATGGGATCGCGCACGCGTGCGCCGTGTTTGGGAGAGTGCTCCGAAGAAAGCGAATTTATTTTTTTTTTCGTTTGCGAAACCGACCGCGAACATGCGGTAATTTCACTTGAAGGTCGGTAAGGGTGGTAAATGGATCTGTGAATGCTAGGAGCTAAAACATTCTACGAGATGATTGTTAGGATGATTGTTAATGTCATAAGGGTTGAACGTTAGTGGAAATTTGATGAATGAAAATGATTTTTCTGGCGTCGGCGATGCCATTTGTTATCAAAAAGTGAATGTTTGTTCGAATTGCGAGTCACACACTTAGCCAATTTTCCTTGTGTTTCTGAAAAGTGTGGGCGAGATTTGTTAAATATTATCTTTTCTATTACATGAATATGTCAGTATTTCTGTTTATAACAATTTGAAATTGAAATCATTATCTGATGCCTAAAAATTATTGAGTGGTGTAGATGTTATCAAGTGAATGATCCAATTTTAATATTCGTATATGCAATAGTTTGGTTCAAAAATAGCATTTGAATTGTATTCATAAGTGCTATAGTCATTAACATGCTTAAAAAAGCTTTATTTTTCAAGATGAGAACATGTCCGTTTAGTCTGGCAGGCCAATTACTTGGAGCTAGACTTAGAAATTAATTAATATACATGCAACTTCGTAGATGACAATTTCATTACGTGTGCACAAAAGTAATATATTTCTTCAGTGGATTGCGGCAAATGCCCTTTTTATCTGCTTTGGAGCACAACACAGTACTATTTCTAGTAATATAAACAAGTTACAGCTAATTAACGGAGTTGCGCTGACAGCCCATCTCGTACCGTATGTCTTAATTTGGAGATCACATCAGATACACTCTGTTTCCAAATGCAGACACATTGTAATAAAGCGATATATTTATAATTGTCTTTCATACGACATGTATTGAAAGGCGGATACCATGGAAGAAACTCAAGCAATGCGATCACTTTCTTTCACAGGAATTTTCATGTTCACTGCTCTAGTGCTCCATCTACTTTTTTATGTTCCTCAACTTCCTTTACCGTCATGTAGCAGCTTCCCTCTACGACTCACTGCATCAAAACATCAAATTGATCCACAGACTTCAAGTTGACAGAAATGTCTCTGCTAAAGATTTATCTCTGGATCACAACCTCCCAACCAAAAAGAAATCTAAGGAGCATTCCCACGCTAAGCTATTGCTTCCTTGTACCTCCAGCTCGTTCATTTCAACGAAGCTCCACTTTTCTATCGCCATGTACGTCCCATGTAATTGGTTCTTCTCAGACTGCACCTCCCACTCGACATTTTTTCGCGAATTTGAGAGAAAATCCTGTTCGGAGACGCGGGCCGCATCTGCAGCTGCAGCGAATGTGGGTCGCGCAGGGAACGTTTGAGGCGCTGCCCGCGGCAGCGACGCGTGCCTTGTTGCACTGGCTGAGTCGCTGAGTCGCGGAGAGACAAGAAAATCACTCTCCGGCGCGGGGGCTGGCGCGCAACGCGATGCGCCGCTGTTAATTTCTCCTCCCGTGCTCCGTGGCGGCCCCTAATTGGACGGCGAAAGGCGCATGCGCTCTGCGGCGCTGCGCCGGCCACGGGCCGTTTTTGTTTCCGCGGGGGAGGTGGCGTGCCTCCGTTCCCCTGATTTCATTTTTCGTGCACAATTGCGGCGTTAATCGTTTTTCTACGACTATTATTTGCAAAACGAAGAATAATGAGTTTTTTGTGTCCTAATGCAACGTCTTTGACCCTCTGTGGTTGTGCCTCAGCATAGGGTTCCGTCTGCAAACAAACAAATGCATTTCTTTACCCTAGATTTTTGTCTCTCAAAATGAGATGTTTACCAAGGTTGGTCAATGGAATGATGATTGCAGCCGGTGTTGATGATGATGATGTTTCATGTGGAAATAATCATTTTTGTTTCCGTGTAGGTATCTGGCCACGGTTCTCCTGGATTCAGTTTCGTTGCAGATTCTTCTTTGTGCGACAATTATTTGCAAATTACAGAGCAATATATATTTGTATTAAATATGTGTTTGTAGTGTATCTTGGCGTTAATCATTTTTGTAGACTGTCATTTGCAAACTACAAAGCAATGGGTATATATCTTCCAAAACGTGGCCTTCGTTGCGTGTGGTTGTGCCCGAATATGATATATTTCTCCAAGTTAGGCAAAGGAAAGATTATTTCTGCTGCTATGTTTCTTGCTGATTATGATGCATATAGCTTAAGTCCTATTTTCTAATCGCAATCTAAGTCTTTCGAGGTTATTTGTTTTTGTGCGACTATTATTTGCAAAATACAGAGAAACGTGAATTAACTTTCAAAGTCACCACTTTCTATGCATGTGTTTACTCTTTGTGGTTATATCTGAACATGAGATGTTTACCAAGGTTGGTCAGTAGATTAATAATTGCTCATGCTTATATGAGAATGAGTCGTTTACCGATATTGATTATATTTATAATGATTGCAGAATATAATGATGATACAGAAATAGCAAGACATTGCGACGAGCATATTTGATGACAAATGTCAAACTGAATGCGAATAAAACACTAAAAGGAATACTAATACGGGCATTTTCACCCTCCAAATACTCTATTTTTTGGTTTCTACACTCTTGTTCAGGAGATATTTTGTCTAGAGATGTATTCCAGTGTGTTCAGCACGATTACTTTTTGCAGATTTTCTTCGTCATTGTTTTTAACAATTTCTTCATACTTAATGTGCCTTACTTTCTCACTATATTTTTTAATGTCCCTTATGCACTTAAATTAATGTATAATTAAACGCAATAATATTTGAAAATGCTATGCTATATTTTTAATAATTATTTTTATTCTAAAAAATATTCTTGTATTTTATATTTTGACAAATATTTTATTTCGTGCCAGATTTTGGCATTTATTAGACAATGATTTTTAAATGTCTTATCGCAATGATGTTCTATACATAATTAGGCCAAGTCTACTATCTTTTCATCAATTTTTAAAAAAGTGTTCATTCATTTGATGTTGTTTAATTGAGAAGCAAAGACCAATATGTGATGATTGTTTAATCTTATCTTAATGATGACCACACCACATTCAGTTAACACACGTTCATCGAAATCACAAGATCAAAGATGAACATAATTATACCAATTTTGTGTACTCATTCACAGGAAACACATCTACTGGTTCTGGCCCATAAACTACGACATTATCGCGCTGTGAAGAAAACACGGGAAGCACAAATACGGTAGCATCACGCGATTAGAGGAACCGATTTTCCAACTCCGCACTGAAGCGCAACTTGTATCAGTAAAGCCTCTTCCTAATAACAAATGGCATTCCGGCAGTGGTTTGGACATCGAAAGGTCAGAAACGGAACATGGCTAACGGGGCGGGCGCAGTTTTCGTCGGTGGTTCTAATAGGCGAGACGTGAGCGGCCAGAGATTTGAGAGCCGATGCCCCGGAGGCAGGTTTTTTAGGGGGGGAGGGGCTCGCAGGGAAGCCTCCTGTGCCACCGCCAGCCCTGGAACGAGGCTAATGACGCTCGTCGGACGCTCAAACGCGCCGTCGACGTCTGCCGATTCGATCCGCTTTTTGGAAACGTGAATATCGATCGGCTATTTTTATTGGGTACTTTAACCTAGATGTGATGCCAATGGAAAAGGCATAATTTTTCAGTCACTGTTCCTTCTGCTTTGTCCATTACTGTTTATTTCTCTCTTTTCGTTTTCACCTGATCTCCAATATTAATCTTCATTAAGATATTAGAACCGTTATATTTTTTTGATAAAGAATTCTATTAAGAATAATTTTCCTAATGAAGATATTGTATTGGCTCTAAATGATGTACAAAAACAGACAATATTGCTACTATCCCGAATACATTATCTTCAGTACATTTTTATGTACTAGACGTGTCATATTCAGTACCTCACTCATCCACTAACTGCTAGTATTCTCTTTTAAATTTCTTGATAATTATCTGTATTACTTTTGTTGATGAATGTTTCCAAATTAATTACACTAGAATTCTCATTTTATTCACTCATATTCCACCATAAACGTTATTCTAACATACCCTTCAAGCATTAACACAAGTAAATAAAACTTATTAAAATTGTTGCAAGTTTTAAACTATTAAATATTAATATTTTCAGTCAAATATTTGCATTTTATTTGCCTAGAAAGAAATATTGAGTGTAAGAAATCTTTAAAAAGAAATACATTATCAGAATGCTCATTGTTAAGCACACAGGATGCTTAATATGGCATTTAAAAATTACGTAAAC